AAAAAAAAAAAAACCTCGGTGGCAATAGCCAGATAACTTGCCAACTGAGACACCATTGGTTGGTTACTCTTGGTCTTCCCCTTACATCCAGACCAGTAAAGAGCACCAAGACGTCCCCTAAATAATAAGACCATCAAAATCTTACTCTTAGTGAGAGTTCCTTGGGGAATCTTGATAATACAAAAACTAAATCAAGGAAAGAACTCATTGGGAAATAAATCAGTTTTCCAATTCCTACACCAATCTTGGAATTTTGGGTGATAGGATATTGGTATTATTTGAGTTTTTTATTAATTTATTTTCTAGTATGTACCTCAACAGAGCTTCCTCAATCAACCCTGGGAAGGTTCCTTTTTTTTTGAAGATAAATAAAAGAGAAATTTCATTAAATAAAAAACAAATTACAAGAATTCCAAGTGATAAGGCACCCAACTGACACAAACTTACAAAAAAACAGAAGGCACAAATACATCTCTTTAGAACAGATTGCATCTATTAAAAATTCGTAGTACTCCAAAAATTCCATCCAAATCTTCTCTTTTAAAGCCTTCAAATTCTAAAAGAATCCACACCCAATCCATAAGCTTCACCCCAATGATTGCACCTAACCTCCCTTGCTCTTCAATTTTCCTTCAAAAGTTCTTGTATTTCTTTCTTTCCAAATTTCCCAAGAATACTGAAAATTGGGTTGCTATTCTATTTTTGAGATTTAGCTTAAGAAATGATAATAGAATCAAATTCTGGACTGACCTCTGGCTAGGGAAACAGCCCCTCTACTCCACTTACCCTAGCCTTTTTCGACTTGCCTTGAGTAAGGAGTAAGGAGATTGTAATCTCCTCAGTTATTATTAGAGGGGAATAAGGTCTTTTCTTTCCTTCAATTTCTGTAGAGCATTAACAGATGCTGAATCCCAGGATCCAGGACATTTCCTCAAATAGATTTGTTAACAGTTAAATCTTTCTTTTATACCTTGGTGGCAGGTACACATAACCCCTATTTCCCCTATAAAAGTATTTGGCTCTCCATTATCCCTCTATTTTTTTTAAGATAAAAAAGTTATTAGAGAAAATAAAAACTGAATACAACCACCAATAAGATGCTAATGCAACACCTTAACCCAAAACAAAGGAGACAACACCAAAAGACATTCAAAAGACAACAAAAAAAAATTCTAATTGCTCTAATCAGGACCTTCTGTGAAATCTCTCCCCAAACCACTAACGACCACATTCAAAAGACAAGAGTTGGAAGAACTCCTTTAATCAGAACTGCTACTATTATTCTTCCTCAACAGACTCATCCTTCCCTCAACTTCCTCATCCCAGCCCTCTCCTCATTTTCCAATTACAGTCTTCTTCAATTTCTCCTCCCTGCATCTCCTCTCTAATTCAGCAAAAGCTCTATGAGCAAACGCCTCTCCACCCAGAAACCACAGACCTAAAGATTTTCCAACCTCAACATCCTTCAGCCAATTTCTCAATTTCCACACTACCAGTCTTCTTTCTTTCTTCTCCAATGGATTCTCACCATCCTCTTTTCAACATCTCCTCCAACCTCCCTTTCATCTTCCTCTATTCCAATTCTAGTCTCAAGCTTCTCAATGGGAATATCAACCCACCCATATTGACCCACCAACCCTGACCCCTCATCAATGCTTGTTAAAGGGTCATAACCCACCCTAACCTTGACCCACCCATATTGACCCCTTACCCACCTACCCTCACTTATAAATACAGAAACAGGTTGGGCCGACCCGTATACCCAAAATAACAACTTTTGAGAGAACCAACTCTCTCGAGGCTGCCATGTGGCAAAAACAAGTCGGGTCAGCCCATATACCCAAAAATAAACAGTTTTTGAGAGAACATCTCTCAAGGCTGCCACATGGCAGAAATTGGTCAAACCAACCCCCGTATACCCAAAATAACAACTTTTGAGAGAACCAACATTCTCAAGGTAGTCAAGTGCTATAAACAGGTCGAGTCAGCCCATATACCCGAAAATAACATTTTTGAGGGAATCATATCTTAAGACTGTCATGTGGCGGAAACAGGTCGGGCCGACCCATATACCTGAAAATAACATTTTTGAGAGAATAATCTCTACCAAGGTACCATGTGGCAGAAACAGGTCAGGCCAACCCGTATACCTGAAAATGCAAAAATTATGCAAAAAAAAACCAAAATCTTTGCAGAAAATGCAAAAAAAAAAAAAACGGAAAATTTGCAAAAAATGAAAAGAAGGCAGAAATATTGCAGAAATTTCAGAAAATACCAAAAAATTGCAGAAATGCATGAAAACACCAGAAAAATGCAGAAATTATGCAGAAAATTCAAAAACATATACAGAAAATTACATGAAAACGCCAGAAAAAATGCATAAATTGTGCAGAAAAACACCAGAAAATTACAGAAAATGCAGAAATTATAGATAATACCAGAAATTGCAGAAAATTGCAAAAGATATGCAGAAAAATACCAGAAAATTGCAAAAATGCAGAAAATACCAAAACATTATAGAAAATGCAGATATAGAAAAACAATTGCAGAAAATGCAAAAAAAAATGCATAACTTTTGCAGAAAAAATTAGAAAAATGCAAAAAAGATACCAAAAAATTGGTAGAAAATGCATGAAAACACCAGAAAACATGAAAACATACCATAAAAACATGTCAGAAAATGGTAGAAGGAAGTCTTGACCTGAATAGAGACTTTCGAATTACTAAAACCAAGGATTAAAGTATCGGTATTGGGTATCGTACTGGACAAAAAATATGGAAACGTATGGATACGGTAGGGAAATACATACAAATTTTATAAATACATTAATAACACGAAATTTAAGATCAAAACAATCACAAGATAGTATATAAATACATATAAAATGTAAATTTTAATGATATATATGAAGAAATATATTACAATTAATATATTGAGATGCATAGATATCATATAATTTTATTTATAATGGATCAATCAAGAGTCCAAGCCACTAAACATATGCACCTATTATATTTTAATTATTATATCAATTATTATTTTATTTTACTATTTTAATTTTTAAAATTAACAAAAAATCAACTCAAATTAAAATATCAATTAATAATTTATAAAAATATAATCCTAACTTAGAGTATATCAAATTTGTTAAAATTTCCAAGATACATATCATATACAAATTTATAGTTTTTAATTACTAAAATAATTATTCCATTATTAATATTTTTATTTCTATAAATTTTATGAAATAAAAGTCTTTTTTTGAAATAAATGTAGATTAATGGATTTGATAGATTCAATTTAATATTAAGATTTATATCATGTGTGAATTTATAAATTTTAAGTATTAAAATAATTATTCTATTATTAATATTCTATTTGTATAAATTTTTTATATTAAAAATCATTTTTTATATAAATGTAGATTTGATAGATAATTTATTCTATTAGTTTATAAAATACTATTTTTTAATATTATTTTTTAGCTTTTAGTTAGTGTTGTTAAATATAAATATGTGCTTTTTGTTTAAATTGCTTGTGAACACAAAAGTTAATAAAATCTATTTTATTTCAATATTAATCACAAAATGAAATGTGGCTTAGTGGCTTGGAATTGAAGATTTGGAGCAAGATGTGGACGCGCTACGTGGCCCTGAGTTTGAGTCACCTCAAATGCGTTTTTTATGAGACTTGGCGAAACCATCAACCCAACCATCTTGACCCTAATGGGTACCCTCAACCCAACCCACCCTAACCCTTTTTCACTGACCCTAATGGGTTTCTCGACCCATATTGACCCGCCAATAGAATGGGTGGGTATGGATGCGTTCCAAGGTGAGTGGGTTGGGGTCAAGATTACCAGCCCTATATCCACTGACTGCTTGTCCATTCTTAGATTTGTTTCGGTCCTAAGATTCATCCCAGCAGAAACAATATGATAGGAAGATTTGACTTTAACTCCTCTTCTCTAAGAGGGTTCTCCATGATCCCTCTTAGACGTTGCTTCTTTGTGTGAGAGGCTTCCTGTGGTGGCATTAATACTTGTGACAGGATCCTGAGGAAGAGAAAGGGCCAATGTTATTTGCTCCTCATGTTTGTATCATGTTCATGAAGGATGGGGAATCCTGTGGCCATGTTTTAATTAACTATGAGGTAGCTCTCACCCTTTGGAAATTCTATCTTGACCTCTTCCATTATAGCATTTTTCATTGGGTCCTTCCTGACTTGGTTGAGGATCTCCTTAACTAGTAGCCAGCCTGTAATCTAGGAAAGAAATGCATTATTTTTGTATCATGTTCAGGAAGGATGGGGAATCCTGTGGCCATGTTTTAATTAACTATGAGGTAGCTCACACCCATTGGCAATTCTATATTGACCTCTTCCATAATAGCATTTTTCAGTGGATCCTTCCTGACTTGGTTGAGGATCTCCTTAACTAGTGGGCAGGCTGTAATCTAGGAAAGAAAGCATTATTTTTGGGAAAGTTGTGGTTAATGCTGTGATGTGGTGTACTTGGGAGAA